GAATCATTCAGCTTCTTAGAAGAGATTTCATCAGTTAGCCCTCCTGATGCCCCTGGGCCAAAATAACCCCCAAGGCCAAGCATCAGCCAGCACGGAGTCATCTGACCAGCAGAGGGAGCCATAGAGTCAGAAGTAAATCTGTCATTATTTATCTGTACTTTTTATATTTTAGGTTTTAATTAATCCACACATAAAGGTTGAACATCTGTGATGAGCATGGTTAGATTTTAAATTAGTTTAATTTATTCAAGTTATGTGTTCCTTAAGCTTTAACATTTCAAGTGTTTGATCCAAACGTGTCGGCATTTAAATCAAAACTTAGTTCAGAGAGTATGTTTGCTGCTGCTGTGTTTGCTGTCTCAGGTTGTCAGCTGTGTCTCAGTTTAAGATATTTTTTAATTTTCGCTGATAAGATACTTGTTACACGTGTGCTAATGAAAACATTTAGATTTACTGCTGTTTGGGCGCATTTTAAAATGCAGGATGTCTTGTTTTATGTATTTATTGTAAAAAGGACGTTTCCTCACAAATAGCGGCCTTTCATTTTTATTCTTTTGGCAATAACTTCAGTGAAAACTGCATGTAAAATGTTATTAATATACTTTTTTAACTGCTTCTGATTTTCAATTAATCTAAAACTTTTTAAAATCCAACATGGGTTTAAAAAGACTGCAAAGTACAAAGTCTATCAGAAAATGTGAAATGTATTGACAAAAAAAGGTTTTATTGTAGAAAAAAATCAGATCATTATCTAAACTGCTATTTTTTTTCTTTACCTCTTTTTGTATATTTTAAACTTTTTGGCCTTTTGTCTGCCAGAAATTTTTTATTTTGTTTACTTTTTCTCTGTTTCTTTTGCTTAAAGTGTTTCTAATATTTGTGTCAATAGTTCATAATTTGTGTTTTCTATTTGAAACTTCTGCAGCTTCATAAGGCACAGTTTGACCTCATCACAGTGTTGTACAGTGTCAGATGGTTCATGTGAGTTTATCTGAACACAAATCTAACCAGAAACTTGATTTTATTTTCTTAGTAATTGTCACTTTATTTGTTCAAGATGTTAGGTAGGAAGATCTTATGCAAACTGCACTCAGAATATATGTTGAGGATCAGTCTCAGCTACTACCACACCAAATACTAGGTCAACATTTATAAAATGAAATCAATTGTAGAGGAGCATCCAGGGATTACTTGTGGAACTTTTTTAAAAAAATGTGTCCAGTGATTCATAAAATAATTTGCTAACAAGTCAAAGGCAACATCACTTTTTTGCCTCTCTATAGAAACAGATTTCTTTCACATGTATCACAACAGAATCGTGGTTTTCTTGTTTTTCTCATTCATGTATTTTTCAATAAAAACATATTTTTATTTAAATTTTTGTTGCCTGGCTCTGTGTTCTGCAAAACATTGTTTTAAAGCAGTATTTAAACATCTTCTCCACAGATTCTAATAGACATTTAAACCTAAACAAACCTGAGTTAAAGTGACTGAAAGTTGTCGACTTGATTATTGATTATTCATCCTTCAAAACTAACAAGTTGTTCCAAAAATGCCTTTAAACAAACTCTCARGAACTGATGCTGAAGACAGAAGTCTGAATCCGTCAAACCTCCCAGACCAGGAAAACGTGTAAGTTTTTTATGAGTTTTTATGTCTGATTGATGTCTCTTTGTCAGTGTTTACTCTGTTACTGTTTATTTTTTTAGGATTCAGACTGAGAACGTGACTAAAGGCACAAAAAAACAAACTACAGTATGAGCAGGCCGACTCCTGTGAACAAGTGAGTTGAACAGAACTATGTAACAACTCTGTTATTACTGCTGTTTGTCTAATATCAAATACTCAATGATTAATCGTACAAGTTTCAGAGCATAATACAAAACACAAACGTGATTAAACTAAATGTTTATTTACACCATTTTCTTCCTGCAGGCAAGAACACCAGAGAACGAGTTCTGTGAATCTGCAAGAAGAGCTGAAGKGAAGTCGTCAGGACAAAGTGCTCCAGCAAACCAACCTGAAATCACAGAAGCCAGCGAGCTCCCTGATGCTCTTCTGCAGCTGCTGAGGTACACAGAAACAATCACTTCATAAACTGCATAAACTTGGATTTATTGTGAGTCCTTACACTGTCAAGAATGGTGGTGGTAGGATCATGGTGTGGGGCTGATATATATAGATTTTTGCCATAACTGAGAAAAAAATWAAAGTTTCACAAAGTGACACATTTATGTGGAATTTAAAAATAAGCAAGGTTGACATCCTTTAACTACTGGATGTTTTAAGAGCTTTAATAGAAAAAAAAGATAAGTTGCAAACAAGGTTATGCTGCAAAAGAACCGTAACAACAATGTCCCCTCAGACCAGTCACAGCAAAGGAGGTTCTCCTGTCTGATTCTGATCCAGATCAAACCGAGACTCAGCAGCCTGACGCTTCCAGAGGTGAGGAGATGCTGCACAAACAGAAGATCAAGTCTACTTTTTTTTAATTTATGCCACTGTTTGTCTTGTAGGACTTGTTGTGACGACTTATATAAGTTTAGTTTTGGAAAGCCTTTTTTACTGTCTGTACCGAGAGGATGAGGAGCAGCAGGACATCCATCTCAACGCCAGCCTCTCACGTATGTCTGTTCTTTACTACAAGGATGTTTGTCATTGATGAAATGAACTTTTGACTAATCTGCATTGGTCTGGGTGGATTTTCAGAAAAGACGGAGAGTGCTTTAATGAAGCAACCGCAGGAAACCAAAGCAGAGTGGACAGAAGAAGAAAAGACKAACATAGGAGGTATTTTTGCAGCTTTTGCTTGCAAAATCTAATTGCTTAGCATGCTGTTGAGATTATTACATTGTCTTTTTGGTTTAGGAAATATTCAATATAATCTCTAGAAAGAAAAATATGTTAACACCTTCAGGAATTAACTGTTAATATTAAATTGTTGGTTTTGCTTAGAGAGCAGCTACACACTCATCTGTGCCTCGGTTCTTGTTTTTTCTCGTTTCAGACCCCTCAGAGGCAGCAGGTGGGTCAGCTGGTCKATCAGAGTACGACTGAGACCCGGCGGAGGAACTCTGCTCAGGATGCCTCCCAGGAAGGAGGCCGGAGGASCAGAGGTGTGATTGTTTCACCTCATGGATGTTCATAAAGCAGTGTCTGAACTGAAAATCACTGCTATAAGTTAGGATTTGAAAACACCTTTGAGTATTTTTTTCTAAGTATTTCTTCAATAAATGACATAAATCCATCAACTGAATTGATCATATTTATTATATGACATCAGCAGATTAAAATACATGTTTACTATGTACATATATGCAACAAGGGTGTTAAATAAAGTGCCAAAGACAAGTTTTTTTTACAAAAAAAAAAGGAACAGATTTGTGGAAGACCATAACACCCGCTGGCCTGGTCCCACAGATTCATTGCTTCGTGACAAGTTAGCCCCCATCTCCCACCCCCGATCCCTGTTAGGAGGCTGCGTTGCTCAGTGCTGGTTGTGGGACAATTTGGCACAACTCAGGTGACAATGTCACAATGGCATAAACACTTGGTGTTTTTTTACTTGATTTTATTTTATTTTTTTAATCTTCACGCGACTCGACATCGACACATACAACACATCAGCCTTTTTACGGTTCCACTTTGAGAGGAGAGTCCACGGATGTTTTTTATTTCATTTTTTGGGGAATTGTGGCTTCGGGGCTAATATGTGAGGTGGCTCCACTGTTATTTGACCACAGTGTACGAAGCTTTCTGTGGACAGGTTCTGTACAAAGCTGGGACGTTTGTGTAAAATGTGAATGTAAACTGAATGCAATGATTTGCAAATCTCTTTTTTTTTTATTTACAATGGAACAAAGTAAACATATCAAATGTTGAAACTATCATTTTTTTAAAGTCATTTTGATCGTTATGGCAGCAACTCATCTCAAAACAATTGGGACAGGGCCATTAAAAGGCTGTCAAAGTAAGTGATATGAACCCTCTCACACCGCCAGCAAGCAAGGCGGGTAAAGTGCCTTACCCAAGGACACAATGGGGRATCAAACTGGCAACCCATTGGTTACAGAACAAACCCTACCTCTTCCTGCCACTGTCACCCTTAATCTAATATAAAATTAGAACAGTATTCAAAATAAAGTTCCTGCTGTCTGATCGCTGCATGGACTCAGGAACACTTCCACACATCATGGACCGTAAATAGTTTGCCGTGCCATCCACAAATGCTGGTTAAAGCTCTATCACGCAACATTAAGACCTATTTGAACATCATCTAGAAACGCTGCAGAACCAAAGCTCATTTAAAACAAACTGAGACGATATGAAAAACTGTTCTGTTGTCCGGCAAATATTACACCACAATATTCGTTTAGGAAACCACACGCATACCGTTCAAAGGCCCGCCTCGCTGATGGTAGGGGCGTGCATAAGTGCCTCTAACGTGAGCGACTTACACAACTGGAAAGGCACCACCAGTGCTGAAAAGTACATTCAGATGATGACTTTTTCAGGGAAGGCCTTGCATATTTCAGTGTTAAACCGTGTTCTGCATCCGTTCCGGCAGCATGGCTCTGCAGAAGAAAAGTCCAGATGCCGAACGAAAGAAACATTTAACATGTTTACTGTGTTCCATTACTAAGATATGGGTTTATTAGCTTCATAAATCATTGCKTTCTGCTTTTATATCTTACACAACAGCCTAACTTTGGAGTTGTAGTGAATATAAGATGACAAACTACACTTTCCAGGCGTAATCTTCCTCATCCGTAAGACAATAGACGGTGACCAGGAGACGATGGGTGAAAGTCTATAACAACCGGAAAACAGGCACACACTTATTTGCATGTACGTATTTCAGTATTATTTTTTCAAAACTTAAGTCCAGAAGCTACAAAAGGCTGATTAAACCGGTCTCCCCTGCTTTTATTATTATTATTGTTTTGTCCCCCGTTTATCCTCGACGGCAGTGATAGATGCACAGACACCAGGTTGAGAAGACTAGTCTCTGTCACCGCCGGGCCCATCGGCTCACTGCAACAGTCAGACTGCTTGGGAAGATCCACAGAGTGTCTGTATCTAGCGCTGCTCTGTTGGTCTTGACTCTTTTACTCTGTGAGTGTTTTGATTTCAGCAGGTGAGCGTAAATGGGCCTTCAGACGAGAGCGTCGCACGAGGAAGTGGTCAGACGGACATCTTCCAGCTCTTTTACAGACAAACTGCCGCTGGCCCCTCTTTACCTCTCGTTTACTTCCCCCGCTCACTGACCCTGTTATTTTGTCCACTAACTGTCCTCTTCCTCTTTTGATTCATCTTCCTCATCCTCCTGAGGTGCTTCTTCCTCGCCCGCCTCTTCCTCGTCTTTATCCTCCATTTCTGTCTCCTCTTCCCCCTTTCCTTCTGCGTCACCATCATCTACGTCTACATCCTCCTCTTTTTCCGCCAAACTCTCCTCCGTTCGTGCCTCCTCATTTTCAGCTTCCTCTTCTACTCCATTCATCTCCTCCAGGTTTTCTACACCTCCCACTTCATCATCCTCCCCTTCGTTGTCCGTCTCCTCCATTTCTTCCTCTTTCTCCTCTACTTTTGTCTCCTCGCCTTGTGAGCCATCAGTTTCCTCCACCCCTTCTGTTCCTACTTCCTTGTCTGCCTCCTCTTCCTCCTTTTCACCCGCCTCTTCTTCCCGGACGCCGTTCTGCTCACTGTTGTGATTTTCCTTGTCGTCTCCCTCGGCCTCAGCGTGGTTCTGCTCCTCTCCGATCGTTTCTGTCTGAGCTTCCAGCGTTCCGTCGTCGCAGATGGCCCTCCGGCCGCTCCTGTTGCTCCTCCCACCCCTCRGACACACGTGGTTGTGATTGTTGTGCTCCAGGTCCTCGAGCGTGAGTTCAAACTGGAAGCGGTCCTGCTGGAGGTGTCTGTCGGGGGGCGGTGACGGAGACTGGGGCATGGTGTTCAGGTACCACTCCCTGTTCTCCTCCAAAGTGTCCAGGATCTCCTGGGCGTCCGGGTGCACCAGGTCGGCCCACGTCTCCCACAGCGGGTGGACAATGTAGTCGATGAACCCCACCTGGAAAAGAAGAGGTTTGAATTGAGTGATTCTTACCTCGTGTGATGGACTCACTGTGAACAGAAAGCTTGATTAGAAGCTTTAAAAGTTTATCTAGAAGTGAAGCTAACTAAAGGAGCGACACAGCGGTGGAGCTTTACCTGACTCTTCTCCACAGAGGCGGTGTGTTTGTCACACATGGCGCTGATCTCCATGCCCCTCTCCCGCTCTCGGTCACCCTGTCTGAAGAACTCCTCCATGATCCTCTCTGTCCACTGTCTGTATAACAGTAACGACTTGGTGGGGTTGCTCAGGTCTGCACAGTGCACCATGTTCTTCAGTACCTGCAAGGAAACAAACAAGCAAGAAAAACTGTCACACAAAATAATCCCCGACAGGAAATCGAAGACGCAGATGAAAATCAGACCTGTATTCGTTCTGTGTAATGGTCCAGGAGCAAAACGCCAGAACTCGTCACCTTCTTGGTCTCCACCATGGTTTTTAAATCAGCCAGCAGTGTCATGTGTTTGGACATGTCTGTAGCCAGCACCTGTACACAGACAGAACATGTTTAAAACATTTGTTTTCATTTTGTCTAAGGCTCTTAGACAAATAAATCCTCTTCACCAGGAGTTGCTTTGATAACAGGGCATTAAAAATGATAGGTATGTTARAATTAAACTTTAGAAAATCCTGTTAGCACTCAGAAAACTTTTTAAAATGTTATAGGAAACTAAGATTCTTAACATTTATTGACCAAATACACAGGAAACAGAAGTCAGTGCATTATTATTATTATAATAATAATTATTATTATTATTGTTATTATTATTATTATTATCATTATTATTATTATTATTATCATCATCATCATCATTATTAAACTTATATAATGTTTTTTAGGACACTCAAAGACACTTGGTGGTGGTAAGCTACGTTGTAGCCACAGTTGCCCCATATGGAATGGGAAATCCAACTGGCAACCCATCAGTTACAAGGTGACTCACTTGAGTGAAGTTGGCCCCCCACCTTGTTTAAATCTAACAAAATTCGTGTCAAACGTTTGTGCAGCAAAAAAATTTGTTTGTGCCGCTATCGTTTTTAAGATATTAATAAAAGTTTGTACAAGTCATCAGAGGTCAACCAGCCCCCCACCCCCCATTACCCAAATCAAACAAAACTGGTGCCAATCAATTGTGCTACGTTTGTGCTGCTTTTGTTTTGAAGATATTAATTGAAGTGTACAAACATGAACTACATTTTGTTCTTTGATCACATATGATATAAAGCTGTCTTTTATAATGCATTTCATAAAAGCTGGATTTACAAAACAGCTGTTCTTATTCACAAATTCCAATGCTTATATCATCAAGTGGTGGAGAAAAATCTGATTTTGACTGAATAGAGACGACTTCAGAACAAATGAGAAATTGTATTCACTTTTAACGCTTCTGTTACCATCAGCTCATAGAATTTGCCAGTGAATGTTTGCTTGGACAAAGTAACAGAAGGACTCCCAAATGCAATTTTTCTAAATACCGTACAGCCAAACAAACAACTGAATTTCAAGGGTTTTGTAAAGCATTTTGGTCATGAGTTGGTAAAAATTGATTAACTAAAGCTTTTTTCTGCCCATAAACAAATCAATAAAACTGCAACCCCCTCTTGGTTTAACCTATTAGTTTTAAGGGGCAAGGCATGTGCCTGCAGGTAATTTATTCTTACATACAAAGCAAAGCAAAGGGTGGACTAGTCAAGTTTACAGCAGGACAATGCATGAGGCTAGAAAATGGCCTGCATGTAGGTAAATAGCTGAACTTTGCCGCCCTCACCCACATTTACAGACAACTCTGCTTGCCTCTGGAAAAAAATATCAATACCTTACAAACAATAGCGGCACAAACAAAAAAATTTGCTGCACAAACGTAGCACAATTGATTGGCACCAGTTTTGTTTGATTTGGGTAATGTGGGGGGGCTGGTTGACCTCTGATGACCTCTACAAACTTTTATTAATATATTAAAAATGATAGCAGCACAAATGAAAATTTTTGCTGCACAAACCAGCACAAACATAGCACAAGTGTTTGACATCATTTTTTTTAAACTTTTGAACGGGGGGGGGTCAACTTCACTGAAGGCCCTGTCATACTAGACAACTTATGAACAATTTAAAGACGTCTACATTGAAGACGGAATAGAAAAAATCACCAGGAAGCTTCTTTTCAGTGTGTACGTAATGTAATTCTAACAAATTGATCAAATATATAACTTTTATTAGCAATTTAGATGTAAAAAAATGTTTCGCAAGTTGGCATAATTTGTCTAGTGTGACAGGGCTTTAAAAATCTGCCACAGCTGCCCAGCGTTTTACTTTTCATGTGKTTTAATCAACCCTTATGAGCAGAAAAATCCTGAAAGGCCCTGACCATATCGATGACGAGCTTGCGGAGGCTCTGGCGCTGCCGTTTGGTGAGGTTCTGGAAGATGTCACAGTTCTCCTGGTGCAGCAGCTTGAAGCCCACAGCCAGGTGGTGGTTCTCCAGAACAGACTCGTCGTTATACATCAGCGCCAGCTCTGAGTCTGCAAGGTGAACACAGGTGTGATGAAACATGTACTGAAGAACACGTTTCTGAGTTTGCATGAGATTGTTTGTGCGTGAACTCACTGGTGTTGATGAGGAACTGGTTGGAAACTCCAGGATGGTCGACGTCATGGATAGCTGCTGCAAACAGAGCAGCCAGGATCTCCAGATCAGTGAATACAGCCTGAAAATATTAAACCCGCACAAGAAGAAACACTGAAACAATTAGAGGAAATGTTGATGCCAAAGAAAGTCAGGAATTTGTTTGTTTAAAGAAATTAGTTTAAAAAACGGCTAAAAATCACACCAAATTTTAATTTTTTTCCTGTTCACAATACTGTTTTTCTTTTTTGGCTTAATTTCCATGTTGTCACTGACACTAAAACTATAACTTTTATGAATGAAATATGTGATGATTACAGAATAAAAACTACAAATACAAATTTATGAAATTTACTGCAAGACAATTTAGTTTTAATCAGCTAACATTTCTAAAATTATCTTTATACAAGCTTGAGAAATTCTGACAACCTGAACATTTATTTTTCACTTTGTAAGACACTTTATTGTTAAAGATCTGCTATTTTTAAACCACATTCTGTCAAGTAAAAAAGAAAATCACAAATTTTGACATTTATCCTACTGAGCTTCAAGTTTAAAGAAACCTAACACCTGTGAAATATTTATGAATTGATATATAAATGTCTAATTTGAATAAAATTTTTAGCCAAGAATGTGACAAAGTTTTAGTGTGCGCACATGATTGGTAGAGGTCACATAAAATGAACAAAATAAGATTATACATACACAAAAATAAATCTATTAGATACTAATAAAATAATTTCTGTGTCTTCATAAATGTTTTTATTTTATCTCCTGATATGTGACCATATCATGCATGTTTGTGTGTGTGTTTCTGTTTATAAGCGTACATCCAGGGCAGGTGTGGAGAGGAGGACATGTGTGGACTGGGTGACGTCTGCAGCGTGGAGGCTATTGTGGTACGCTACATTTCCATGGTAATGATCCTCCAGGGTCATCACGTACGTGACAAAAGTGTCAGCGGGGATACGAAATGTCTTCAAGAGCTCACGCTCCTGAGAAGGGAAGGAGCAGAAACGTAACAAACAGGAGTAAATGAGCAACGACACAGACGTCAGGGGAAATCTGAAGGGATTTTATTTACCTGGAAGATGGTGTACATGATGCAGCTGAGAGGTCTGTTGTTTGACAACTCTGCTACTCTGAATATGTTGAAACTCCACTTGTCCAGATTCTCCAGCTCCTGATAAAACACACAAAGRTATATGAAATATGGTTGTGTTTGTAGCAGAAAATGACTACACATTAAAAGCATAGGCAGGTTTTATCCAGATTCAATTTGAAGAATCATAGGCAGAGGTTGGGACACCCAGGACGGATTAGTCCATCACAGAGCCACATGGATACCAACAAAACAGACAACCCCTCATGCTTAACATAATTTAGAGCTGCTAATTAAACTAACAAGGATGCTTTTGGTCTTGGGAGGAAACCAGAGTACCCAGGGAAAATACAGGAAGAGCATGTAAACTCTGCACAGAAAGGCCTCCGTAGAGGTTTTGAACCTGCAAACGTCTTGCTGGGAGGTTGAACGACTGGGGGGGGTAAAATTAAAGAGGCCAGAGTGAGATGGTTTGGACATGTCCAGAGGAGGGACAGTGGGTWTGTTGGCAGAAGGATGTTAGAGACGCAGCGGCCAGGAAAAAAACAAAGAGAAGATCAGTTTATGGATGCAGTTAGASWGGACATGGAGGYAGTTGGCATCAGGACAGAGTGAGACAGAGRAATGACGAGCCCTGATTTGTAAACAGCTTCTTCTTCTACTGTTTCTTCTGCTCTGCTCTGAAGAACCTTCTAGAGGCTTTATTGTCCTTTTACCTTCAGCAGCGGATGATAAATGTTGTGTTATGTTAAATAGCCTGGCCCTTGCCTTCCTACGCAGCTCCGCTCAATTCTAGTTTCGCTTCTCTGCTCCGTCTGGGATTTCTCCCATAGACGAGGATTTCGCTGGCAGATTTTTAGCCGGGCCAATCAGAGAACAGAACGTCAATTGTCTGCGCAGTGTCTGCTTGTAGTTTAATTTACCTGGGCCAATCAGCAAACAGAAGGCAAAGTTTTGAACGACGTCGACTTTCTGCGCAGTGCCTGCTAGTTATTTTAGCATACGGCAGTGGAGGAAGTGAATGAAGCCAGTCTGTGTTGATAAGGCTTCCAAATTAAAATAAATTTGTTTGACAAAGCAGCAGCTCTCATTTGCAGTCGTCTCGTTCGACTCGGTATATTTCTCCTCTCAGTAGGGTTGTTTACAGCACACGCGATTTCCAGTTAGCTTCTTAGCTTAGCCTCCTTTACACCGACAACACACACATGCTTCAGCAGAGGCCACGCCTCCTGCAAGAATCACTTCTCTATGCAGCAAGTCCAGACCCTTGTACGAAGCAAAGTGAAGGACAGGCTCTGGTTTTTGCCAGGCTATTTGTTAAATAATGCAGTTAGGAATGTAGAGACATTACCACCCCTGACCAGAGGAGGGCAGTAGGAGAGAGGGAGAGAGAAGAAGAAGAGGGTGATGTGGTGGTATGATTTCTGTGACGGAAAAGAATAAAGCGTTCGACTTATAACTAAGCTCTTCTCCTTGATTCTACTGCACAACAATAAAGAAAAAATGTTCCTCTTCTATGTGAACAGTTTGTTTTTCATGCAACATCTTGGTAACAAATCTAACACAGAGAAAAAAACTATTTTGTTGGCTTAAAAAGGCAAAAATCTACTGCGTTTATCTCATTTTGGTATCAAATACAGAACCAATACAGGTAGCTCAAGAAGCCAAGATGTAAACAAAACCGATCTGAGATTTCTACACAATCACACAATAAAAGTCTTGTAAAAAGTCTTGTTTTCAAACTAAAAACAAGAGTGCTTGTTTTTTACTATTATTTGTGAGTTAGAAGGACTCAGACTGGAAACGCCACCTTGGCGAGTTCGTCCTCGTGGTCCGTGTTGACGCCGAAGCGAGGCATGGAAGCGCTGGAGAGGCTGGAGCTGTGAGACAGTTTCCTCACTCCGCTGATGTGACTCATAGGTTTGTCTTTGAGCGTCGGGGACGGGATTTCTACCTCGTGATGCTTGTCTACAGATTGACAGGACAACAGAAACAGAAGGAATTTCCTGTTTCTAATCACCAAACGGCACACATGTGATGCTGATGGGAATCATTTTGGTGGAGCTCACCCATAAAGGTGCTGGAGATGTACTCGGACACTTGGTTTCCAGAGCGACTCATTTCTGATAAGTGGGAAAGTTCTCTGTTCAGCATCCTCTTAAACTGTGACAGAATGAGAACAAAACAGTATGTTTGAGAAAACATTGTTCTCTGAAAGATACTTAACTCTTTTTTTTTTTGTTTGTGAAAGAAAGTGAAGAGTAAAACTGAAGTGATGAAGTTCGAAGTTTAAAGCTGCTGTAAAACGACATGTAAAATATCACTAAGATCCCCATCCGAACACATTACGGTGCATCAGAAATCATGAGTGTTTTTGCATTGCTTTTAGTACTCACAGTTATGGTAAAGAACATTAAACAAGAAAAAGTTTATATAAATTTACAGCCAGAAATCTAATATTTTTCTTCTAGTTTAGATCATAAATACAGACTAAACAGCAGCAGTGATGCAGGTGTAATAAACTGCTGTCAGCCTGTTGGGTTTGGTTGCCTGAAATGTTTTTCTACCTTGTTGGAAGCCATCTCGCTGACGGAGCGGTGGGTCTGAATGGTCTCCAGCTGGTCCAAACACCAGTCCAGCTCCTCCAGCGTGTCCAGGGCGAGCTGCTGGTACTGCTGGTCTGATAGCGTCGCTCTGGGACTGACGCATACTCCACCTAAAGGAGACCTCCTAACAACACAGCAGGTACTCAGGTCAGTGAGTAGACGGCCGACAAGACTCAATTACAGACGTGTTCTTGGTTATTTTAACATCTGTGTATTTATATGCATGTACAGACAGATTTGGAAAAAAAAGCTTAAACTTTCATGTTAGAAAAGTTGGTTACTTAAGTGCATCAAAGTTTTCATGGTGCTTGATGTGAACGCTGTTTCATAAAACTTCACACTGCAGCCACATCTGCTGCAGAAGATCATTTGCACAGGAGACAAGTCTGCATCAGTCTGGATTCTTATTACGTTGCAAAACAGAATAAGTGAGTTTAACTGAACAACGTACACTGCAAAAACTGTCCACCTTACCAAGTTTTAAAATCTTATATTCAGCCAAAAAGTTTTTTTGATCTTGTTTTTGAGACTGATTTACTAAACAAGAACTGATTGTGTAACAATAATAATCTTGTTTTCAGAATGTGTAAGATTATTTGTCTTGTTAGTCTGAAAATTTGACTCAAATTCAGTCAAAAATTTCTGCCAACGGAGTAAGAAAATTTTATTAGGTAAAATTCTTGAAATAAGAAAAAATTGATTCAAATCAAGTATTTTAAGAATTTTACCAAGTAAAATTTTCTTACTCCGTTGGCAGAAATATTTGACTTAATTTGAGTCAAAATTTCAGACTAACAAGACAAATAATCTTACACATTCTGAAAACAAGATGATTATTCTTACACAATCAGTTCTTGTTTAGTAAATTAGTCTCAAAACAAGATCAAAAAGACTTTTTGGCTGATATAAGATTTTAAAACTTAGTAAGATGGACATATAAACTAATAGAAAAGTAGCTCTACAACCTCTATATCAGGRGTGCCCAAACCTTTTCCCCAGAAGGCCAAAATGAAAATCTATCTGAAGGCTGCAGGTCAAATGCAATAATATAATACATGAAATGCTAATATTTTTAAGTCATTTTACATTTTCATGATTAAGCAAGCAGGAATTGTTTTTTTTTCTTCTTTTTGTTTATTTTTTGTTTCAGACTGCTTCCATAGAAGGTTTGATGTATGCTCAGGCTCCAAAGGCTCATGGGACATTTTATAAATTGATCAAATATAAGTATTTATGATCTTATAAAGTGTGTAAATCTACACGTGTGCTTGAATCTAAACTAAAAGTGTATTGTAGTTACTTGTTTTTCATGTTTAATTTTAATATAATTCAAAGATAAAGTTAGCACCATGAGTAAAAATTATCTGCCTCTTACATAGTCAATGGGCCAATAGATGGAATAAGTAAAAATACAGCGTCTCTACATAAGATGACAAGAGATTACAACCAGAGCAACAGCTGGTGGGCCAAATCAAATGGCTTGGTGGGCCAGTTTTGGTCCACGGGGCCCCACTTTGGGCACCTCTGCTCTATATGTTTTGGTTTGTTTTTTACACCAGTTTTAGTTGGCAAGGTTTTTCAAGATGTGTGTCACATGAATCATTACTCAGACCGCAGGCTGACTCAGACCTCACAACACTTTGTAAACAACCACCTAATGCAAAAGATGCAAACATTGATCAAGTAGTGTTTGCTCTGAATGATTTTTAGWGCAGGACACCTCTTCAAAAAGTCAAAAGTTAAAGTTACAGACTGGAAAATACAAAACTGGATCCACTTTCAAGCTACTCTTGAACAGCTTGAGGAACTAAACACGTCTTTTTTTAGACCTTCTCACTGTTTTATTGTATGAGGACTTTTTCTTGGGACTGACTTGAATGTTGGTGTGGAGACATTGGCGAGGATGGTGAAGTTGCTTCGTACTGATCGCAGACTGGCCAGTACCTAAACCAACAGAGTGCAAATGTAAATACAGAGAAGCTCCAACAAGTGTTAAATCAATTACATTATATCTAAATTCAGCACTAATAGAAAAAAAAGAAACTGATTGGAAACAGTTATGTATGCAGCTATTTTTTTGAGCGTTTATACTCACTTGAGCAAAAGGTGTGACAATAAAGTCCTCCGCAGTGTGCCTAAGAGGAGGAGGGAGAGTTTGAAAACTGGCAACGAGACATTTATCACTACACAATGTCGTCTCTCTTGTTGTGAGGCTCACCCTTCACTGGCAAGCGTAGAGTTTCGGGAGACCGTTTTTGGCGACATGTCGTAGTCCGAGTCAGACCGATACAAAAAGGACTCTCTTCTCTGGCCCTGAGTGAAGGAGGTGTTCAAGGTGAGGCTTGGACTCTGGGAGCCCAGAGGGGTGTGACCTGGGGAGACGCCATTTTCTGCTTCGTAACTGTGATGAAACGTTAACAAGAGTGAGTTAAGTCAGATGATATCCGGCCTTGAGCAAGCTGAAAGAAGTGGTTTGATGTAAGGCGCGAACCTGTCGGCGTCCGCTTGTGTGATGGAGATGCGTGGCGGGATGCGAAGTGGAAGAGTCGTGGGACGCGACGTATTGCTCAGGATGTCGGGTGAACGAGTGCGATCTCGGGGGCGGAGCCAGCAGGGTACCTGAACAGGCAAAAAGCAGGTGTTGTATAGAAATTTAATAGAAGTGGGGCTTCAAAGAGCTCAGGTTCTCTTTAATCTGGGATTTACTGTTTTCAAAAGGTGAACATCAAATWAAACTCTTGTCCAGTAATTTAAATGACGTGATAGCTCAGAAGTGCAATTTTGTGAAAAAGCTTTTGAACAATAAAACCAACTTTAAAACCAAACCAATTTTACCTGCTGTAATTCTGACCTGAATGACAAGCTAATGGCTAGTCTGAGCAGGGCCAAGAACAAGGTGTCCAATATAACCAAATCTAGTACTATAATACCAGACTTGTCTAGTAATTGGCTTTGGTTTTGTTTTAGCTTCATGGTTCAGCTGAAGATAGCACACATAAGGCCATAAAATAATGTTTTCTGTTATTCACTATAAAGACAACAATTACTGCAACTCAATTAAGTTATAAAATAAAGTAAATTAAATTAATTATTTTCTCATTTAAGTAGTTTTAGCCTGTAGAAAGGCCAAATAAACTAAGTAAGGATAAGAACTTAAACTGACACATAATAAAACTGATAAATGCAGCTGAGAACAAGAAATAAATATTTATTAGAAATTAGAAATGATAATTTCATATTGCAGTGAAAGCCACAGGAGAAAAAAAAGATTCTCTTTTTCCATCAATAAATAATAACATGTTGATTTAAGGTAATAAAAACATAAAGCACTCATCCAAGCAGTCTACACAGACAGAGGTAAATTGTCAGCGTTTTTAATAAAAATGACATTGAAGTCTCTCTTTTGGCAAGCAGATCATTTCTATTTGGCGTTTGTGAGTCACTTTCAAACCCATACAAGCAAGAGCTGACCCAGTGGATGATGTAATCACATTTTCTGATTACATCATTCTGATTGTGATTGTGTCTTATTTTTAATCAGTTCGGAAGGTATTTATCTGAGTGAAATGAACCAAAAGTATCAGGTAACCGTTAGAAGAGCAGCACAAAGTTTAAAATCACCAAAGGAGCTTCAGTATTTCATTACTGTTAGCAATGGAACCACAAGACTATCAAATTAAACCATGTTTCATTCAGTTTTACAAAYGAAGATTCCTGCAAAAATAATGACAGGAAGCTGAGTGTTGTTGCTGCAGCTGTAAAGCTAAGCTTTCTGGCTTTTTAAACTTTGCATTGTTTTAAAATAAAACAGGGTGCAGTGATAAAATGTTTTTTACGACGTTGCTCATTTTTTATGCCTACCATGAGTCAGCTTAAAAGCTTTGCACAAGATGATTTCATTAATGCACTTTTTGGGTTTATTTTTGAAAAAATTCAGACCTCACGGTTCTACTCTTCTACTCTATTATTATTATTATTATTATTAAAAGATTGGTTTCACATCAGAGAAAAATAATTTTTTGTTTTTCCTTGGCTATATTGTTTCTGACTCTATGCAGTGATGTTTAAAGTATTTTTAAAATCCAGAATATTTATGCTGATTCAATATAAAACATGGCTACTGATGGTCATAAACCTTTGTATGATTAGCTGTGTTATGTGACCTGTGCTGGCAAAAGGTTTTTATTATTGCAAATACTTCACAATGAAAACTAGTTTGTTGAAATTTACAGATTTATTAGTTGTCAACAAAATTTTCTTTATGAGAGTGCTGGTAAGAATTTTCATTTTATTTCTTTTTTCCAGAATGATGTCATCAAGAATTTCTGCCCTATATTTAAAAGGGAGAAAACTAAAGCTTAACAATGATGTTGAACTTTAAACAAAAAGGTTTCCAGGCTTTACAGCAGACAGCAAAGAAAAATGGTCAGTTTCAAAGGAAATCATAAAGGCTATAAAACAAAAAAGGTTATCTCTGAAGGCTATTGCTTCTCCTGAGATGTGATAATGTTCTTACCCATGTCTCATTTGTATGTAGCATTGGCAAAATATGTCAAGAACAACTTAACAGATTTTATTCAAACTCAGAAATGAATTATTTGTGAACTAACACATAAATGGCTGTAAATATATCAATTTTTCAAATATTGAACTAAAATTTGATGTGTTAGTAGCTGAGAGTCATTCACAACACATACTCTGATCATCCATTGCAAATATGAAAAAAAGTTTTAAAAAAACAACAACGGGACTTCTGCTCTGCAGCTGAACAGCTGTTTTTGTCACACAAGTTGACAGTTGTTTGGTGTTTGAACTTTTGTTAGATTTACCGTGTCCTGGATGATTGAGAATCTTCATCAGCACAACTGATGGGACATGGTCTGTTTTTAAAACTTTGCTAGTAACTAATGAAGTTAGCCCTGTCTGTTAGCAAAATATCTAATTACCTGCTGAGCAGATCTTACTGGAACTCTTAGAAACTAATGGTTGGCTCAACGTCTAAAACTCACTAACCAACACGTTCTCACTCCCGATTCGTCAACATTTTGACGCTTGGTCAGGTACCGTCTGCGTACAGTTTTGTTGTGACGGGTAAGCCCCCTTGTGTCTGTTATTCACACCCGCGGCTTTTCCGGGCTGTGCCACATAGGGGTCTTTGTGTTGGGGGTCTGTGGTTAATATGAGGGATCAGGATTAATGGGTAATATTAGGTACTGAGGTCAGGGATAGGCTGTGTATGGCTAATAGAAGTTAAATTTAGGGTCTGGGACAGTTAGTTGTCGTGCATTTCCTACTCTTTTCAAAAATACGACAACGTGCTCCTCCTCCACCTCATCTCATTAATAACTGACATGAGGGGTTTACCCGACGTGTCCAAAACTGGATGCAGCTGGTACCTGACCAAGCATCAATATGTGACGAGTTGGGAGTGAGAATGGGTTGCGCTAACATATGAAGTCAATCAAATTCAATATGGCTGCTACAGATAAAGATCTTAACCAACACATAAAATGCAACTACAACTCTGTCTATTTTACAAATATTAGCTGAAATCTGACTTGGTAGTTACAGAGAGTCATTCTTAAAGGGGCAATATCATGTAAAATCAACTTTTTTGAGTTTTATATCATGTTATAATGTTATACTCTCATAAAAAACATGCCCAAAGCCTTGCTTTGACTCATTCATGCATGTTTGAGAAATCCTGCAGCGTTTTTAGGCAGCCATGCTGAGGAGCAAAACGACAGGTGGGGACCAGAAAAGCCTTTTGGGACCAGAAACGCCTCTGGGATGTGTCTTTATTTATGGCCAGCAGCCTCTAAGCATGTTGATGTGTCTTCGATGACTCTGAATACCTGGAGACTGGGCGAGAGTCTTCTGGTCCTCCCTCGGCGCAGCTCGGCCCCCAGCGTGGCCCCCAGCGTGGCCCCGGACGTGTAGGATCGGCTGCAGCGAGACGGCTCCGCCTTCTGCCCAGCATCTGGTACCTCTAAGTCGTTCCCCTGTGAGGCGGGAGGCGAAGGAAACAGAAAATGAGAAGAGAGCAGGTGGATAAAGCGTGCATTACTTGTGTTTTACAGTTTGAAATGGGTAAATAAAAYAAATTTCAAAAGTGAAGAAAGTTGTTCATCTCAGTTGTTATTTTGGTACAAATATGAGTGAATTTTTGAACGGAGGGAACTTCTACAGAAACCCATATTCTAAATGATTGATGCATGTGTGACTGTAATAGGCTGTGTGTGTGCGTGTGTGTGTGTGTGTG